AAATGGAATCAGAAAATGAATAATGGCAATTGTGGCGAGTAAATCCCGACAAACAACCGATTGCCGTCAACAATCGAGGAAAGCGTTGAATAGTGATAGCCTCAAACGCGTTGGCATATGCAACTTGTTCAGACAAAGGGGTTTTCAGGAAAGTTTGAATGGAGAAAAACGCCAAAAGAGAAGAATAATGATAATTTATAAAACGGACAATGAAAGTATAATAAATTTCTTTCTCATCGATTTCGCATATCTTTTAAAAAGTAACCCACAGACAATAGCTATTTAGCAACTGAAAAGGCCTTGAACTGAACAGTGCTGGGTTGATATGAGGGAATACCTCTATGAAGAATAATTTTCATAGCTTATCATTGCCAATAGTGAGACCCTTCTCAATTTGTATTTACTCTCTCGAAGTTATAGAGAAAAGGAAGAAGGAACAAGAAGATAACCAAATTTTGGTATTAAAAACTAAAGTGTTACTTATTTTAAAAATTTTCGAAAACGGTCTTGGCATTTTCGTAAAATCTCGTATATCATTGCAACATTCCCTCTGACCTCACCAACTCGCGGCAATCACATTTCCTGCAATTCCATTTTATAAGCGCCCTCTCACATAACCGTTATTCATCCCTTAAAGAGCCTTTGAACCAAACGTATATCTTGAGAACAGAGTACGTAGATCCTCTTTCCAAAAACTACGTTCGGTGTTAACCATTGCAAAAGGAGGGACGTAACTTGAGCCCGAACATCAAACCTATGACACTAATTACTCAATTAAAGTCTATCCTCAGAATTAAGAGAAAAAGAGAAAGAAGTAAGAAAAACAAGAGTAATACAATTTGATATAGGAAACAAAGTATTCAATGCATCGAAAATTGTCTAAAATGGGCGTGGCATGTTTAACTAATCGGACACATATTTTCAACACTTGACGAAAAAAATTTTAGTAATTGCACCTGCAAGACCTTTTAAGGGTTTCATGATTGAACATGAGAACGAGAGATTGACGTCGTCCGTCGCGGAAGACTGATCTCACTTAAACTGCCAGCCTGCCACTGGTAGAACGTACTCTGTGGTTGGTCTTTAAACATAGATGGCACACGAACAGAGATCAAATCCATTCAGAAAATTGCGGTTTTTGGCGGTACCTAAGGTAGCAGCCAAGGAAGTCAGTTTTTGCACACGCCATCTCGGAAGAACTGCAGTTAGATTCTAAAGCTAATGGCAAGCTATAATTTACTGGTAGCATATGCGTGTAAAATGGGAGTTACTAAAGTGGTGTACTAAGAAAACGTAAGACAGGCATCAGAGAGACGTTAGAGCAACTCCGCTGTTACTGTCCGACTTTATCAAGAACACAACTCAGACATCTGAGGTTTCGCAGCTCGCAGCGAAGGCAATAGAGTTCTTAAATCTAGACAGAGAGTCGCTCTTAAACTTGGTATCAGACAGACATTGTAACATTACCTAACCTTCGTTGGATTACCCTAATTTAAGGCATGGACAAGACATTCGCTTAATTACCGATAACTCCATGGTAACAACCGACCCGAGTGTACTTGGCCCTTCCTTCCTTGATTATTTTCTGCTTCCCTTTTTAGCCTGGACGCTGAAAAGTATCAAAGCGTAAAGCATTAACAACGCTCAGCCACTGTGCCGAGAAGCGCCGAAATGGCTTCATCTCCAACAGCTGCTGCTCACAACGGCGGTTGAGTTCGCTTTGGCTTGAAGTCGAGAGGCAGCGATGGTTGCCATAAATTTAGCGAATCAGTTCATCCAATTAGTAAAAGGCAACAAAGTTGATAAATAGCAAGCGGCAAAGCAGGCGAAAAGATGTGCCGGGAAATAAATAGCAAATAATACAAATAATAATAAAAGTAATAAAGCAGAATATAAAAAAAATTCAAAAAAATTGCTTTCAACATAACAAAAAAGAGCTGACATCAGAGCAAATATTGCGGCAACAAAGCCACAAAATCGTCGTATAAGAAACGCCAACGGTCTCGTGAGTGAATTATGTGTTTACTCTGCTGGCAGTGTGCACATGTGGATGTCCACACATACTAAGCGTTGTCCGCACTGACAAGAAGAAGCGAAGCTGCGGGCTTCGAATTGCTGAAATGTGTCTTTAACGGCTTGCCGTGCGATTTTGGCAATTCAACACATTGCTGCGTCAGCCATTGTCAACAACAGCTGCTGATGTTGCTCCAGCTTCGGCTTCTGCACTGAATTTGTCAAGACAACAAACATTGGCTGGACTAGACGCCACCACCTCTGTCATTTATCCCCACGTTCGCTGGCTACTTGTCTGCTTACTTTGTCGGCAATTGCCTTTCGCAAATGTCTTCTTGCACTACATACAGCAAAATCCCGTTCTCCACGTGCTGCTGAAAGCAATCTCTACAAAGTGCTAACAAACTAGAAATTATTTGCGCTTTCAAAACGCACTTTTCTGTACGTTTCCACAAATTATGACAAATTGCGATTTCTTGTTCTTTTCTACACATTTCCACATTACTTTCAACTCTTCTTTCTCCTCTTTTTGCGTCAAATGTCATTTTGGCATTCTTGCACATGCCAAAAGCGCGGCTCCTCTAAGAACTCTCTCCCTCTTTTTCCCTCGCTCTCAGCGCTTCCTTTTGACAAATGAAATGAACTCAAATGATGCACTGCAGCAAAAGCCACGAAATGAAAATGACACTTTTACATTACCGCTAAGCATGGCTCACGAAAGCGGGGAAAGGTAACTGTCTGAGGCAGGACGAAAGTGTTGACAGCAATTTTCCCTTAAACGAAATTAGTTGGCAAGTGCATTATAAATTTATGAGGGCAAAGTGAAATTGAGAAAAGTCTGCGAAAAAGTGGAAGAGCACAAAGAAAGGGTTAAGTAAATGTTTAATTAAAGAAATATTACTTACTTCTCGTCTCTCTTTTATTGCGTTGTAATATAATTATTATTTAGTAACTTTGTGTGAAATTGTGTTTGGTGTCAGACAAACTTACAACGACAGTAAAATTAAATCTGCTTGTCTGGTCAGGCGGCTGGGACTGATGCAGGGACTGTAGCTTCTTCACAGAAGAAATTGTGAGTTTAAGAATTGAAGCACTAACAAATAAAGGCAATGCGAAAACGAAAGAAATCACCATTACTGTGCTTGAAATAATTGAAAAGCATGCGAAATCGTTTTTAAAGACTATCCCAAATATTCTAGTACTACTCTGGATTGGCGAGGGTCCGTATTAGATAATCCAACTTCAGAAAGTGGAGCATATGTATATACCAGTGGTTGAATACAGAAGGTGAGTTCATCACTATTGCCCATTTCAATTAATAAACTCAGAAACTGAATCATAGACTAGTCCTTTAAACGCCCCCACTTTTTTATATGTGTATTATACATACATAATATCCGCAACAAGTGGAGGGATCTACAGTTTTACTTAGCCGCCTCCGAACGGCTGATGGTTTTTTATGAGAAGCTTTATTTCATGTCCTAAATACACTCGGAGGGTTTTAATGGCATTCTCTGCCGAGGGGCGCTCGCTATTAGAAAATTGAACTTTTTTATTTAAATTAGTTTTCTATAACATTTGGATGTTGGTGGCACCGGGATATTAACCCGAGCCTTCCGCATGTCAGTACGCACTGCTAACCACTCGACTAGCGTGGCCGCGGAGCTTTGTTCCATTTGTTTCCTACGACGACAATACTCTACTAAATATTTTCTTCAAAAAATTAAAGTTCAGAGGCTAGGGAGAGCTGAATGTAACTATTTTTTCTAATTTTAGTACTTATATGACGAATTCCATGACTTTCCTCGAGAAAACTCTGCCGTATAATTGCCTTAAATCCAACTTCAACAAGGTTATAGAGCACTTTCGTTGAGAGATTTGCATTTTATTACCGCTTTGAGGAAGTTCGAATAGAGAAATTTGTTTAGAAATGAAAGGAAATGGAGATGAAAAAGCTCCCTGTGTTAACATACACCAAGTGTAGCTGCAGACACGTAACCTCGAAATCCAACTCCCCTCAATCACTCCTACCTAGAGATGCTACTTTGAACTGATCCGCAAAATCCTCTATCTGTAAACAAACCCTAAACTCTACAAGTATGTAGTTCATGATTCCCATTCTGCTATATAATGCAGAAATGAGGACAATGTCGACCTCTGGCGTGAATGGTCGAAAATCTCGTGCTACCTATCGAGAATACTGCACAAACTCAACGTATGTCCTGCCTGAAAAGTGAGCACCACACAGCACTAACAACCTCTCTGTGTGCCTAATAAAATCCATTTACCTAATGCTCGTTCCTTTCTAGTCCAAAATCGTCGTCAAAAATTTTGGAAATTATGGCTCTTCGCGCAGATGTCCGTATAAGCCACAACTGTTCAGCTTTGAACGTTTTTGGACAGTAGCAGTCGGTTTAAGCAGAGGAAGAGGAAGACCTTGACTCCATTTTAAAGATCAGGCGAAGAAAGATTTAGCTTCAATGGGTATCTCCAACGACTGTCGCACTATTGTAGACTCGGTTATTATTGTGTAAGCGGAGCCTTCGAAGACTTAACCAATTTGAGTTAATGTTTGCGGTCCGCCATTCTTCCACTTATCACATGCATGTATCGGTTAAGTAATCCCATTGGAGAATTTTACCATCCCAGTCAACTTTGTATATCCCGGTATACTTCTCGGCAGAAAAATCAGGTCCGCCTGAGTTGTATGGAACTCAGAGTCACTTGCTACGGACAAGTTAGTCGTGGATACCAGAGTCAGGTGAAATACTGACTAAGATTCAAAGCTCAACAATAAAACCTGTCAATAACCCCTTTCAGAACAATCACACATAACGAGGCTGTTAACAAGAAGATCGTAGGAGCGTTAAATTTACGACAAACTTGGATTTTCCTAACATTCGAGATAAATATTTGACGATAAGAAAACGAAACCGAAATACTTAGCAAGCTATTTGTTTTAAGTAACCTGAGCACTTGTAGGAGACGTGAAAACAAATGCAATAAAAAGGAACAAGAAAAAATAGGCGAAAGTTTTGTAAATCAACGCTAATCACTGTGACTATTTGGAGCTCCGAACCACACCTTCCAGCACAAATGAGTGTCGCGATAAAGATCGAAGGTATTTATCAAATAAACAGTTGTATTACAAACAGGTACTTATCCACATACCTATGTATGTGTGTGCATGCGTGTGTGAATATGTATAGGTAACGTGGTATGCATTCACTTTGCCACACAGCATTCGCTGGCGGTATTTAATTTCATTTAAATTATGTTGCTGACCCAGCAATGAATAACAAACAAACCTATTGACATTTACATAAATAAATGAAAGAGCAACAACACTGTTGTAAAACACAATAAAAACAAAACGACCCCACGTGGTGGCCCAAACAAACGAATTGCCACCAGAGTGAGCCGGCGAGGTGAGCATTGCTGAAGCCAACAACAATTCTAAGTATGAGCCGAGGCAGCAGAAGCAGCAGCACGTAATGTCCCTCGGTATGTACACGTATGCTGACATGCTCGCCATTAAACAGCTATTTTGACAACACAAACCATATTCTTTGTTGTTCATTAAATAACAGTTGCTGGTGGCGCCTGGACAACAAACAACAACAAAAGACCGATGAAATATCGAACAAAAAATAATCAAAAATTATTTGAAATAGAAATAAATTTAAATCTAACAGTTGTTTACATTAAACTTGATTGTTATCAATGAAAACATAAACGTAACCGAAGAACAACAATAACATCGCAACGAAATTATGCGGCAACACTTGCTCGTTAATTGTCAAATTGACAGGTGTACGGTGCAGCGAGCAAATAACATGTGACAAGTAAAGGAAAATAAACAAAGCGAGAATGTCATAATAGCCGAATTGGTGGTTGTATTTATTGCGGCAAATAACAGTGTTTTTACAAAAGCGATAATTAGTTGGTAAATAAAAGCAAAAAAAAAACAGGTGGTAGGTAAGTAGTCGGAACAGTGCGTATTCGGTTTTACTTTCTTAGCTGTAATGTATTCTCTCGAATATAATCGAGCTCTTAAGCTTCCTTTCCTTGGGTCGCTCGGATCATAAGAACTCAAAAAATTCAATTATGTACATTTTCACACGTTTACACATTCTACTCGACTTCCGGGCCCACGCTGATTGAAAACAACATTTTATGGACTAAATATTTGGCGGCTGCGATAGCGAAGTAGTTAACGGTACTTACTGTCATTCAGAAGGCCGTTGTTCCTGTTTGGTCCGGCCAGCATCCAAAAATTGATTTAAAAGAAAAATTAGGTAAGATTTTTTAATATTCGCTCCTCAACATGGAATGTCAACGCCTCATAAAAACCATCAGCCTTTCGGCTTGAAATAAATTGTATGTCTCGGAAGAACATCAAGGCGCACATCAAATAATGGAGTACATTCAAGTTCGAGGTCATTCACCGGATGTACAAGCCGCTTGATGAACGTTCGGCTTCAAATCTTGCATGAGTTGGATTTTGTTAGCCCCTAAACCAAGATTGTTACGCAAAATCTCCATCTCTCTCAGTTGTTACGCGCGATGGTGAATGTAGTATTTCCCAGGTCTTCTTGATTGGGAGCAGGCCGTTGCCCTGAAGGCTTTTGACTTCGTAAAACGAAGGATGACACCACCACCGTCCCAAAATCCCGGTCGATGGAACAAAGACGGAAGAAGAAGGTAATTTCTTGTAAAATCTACTGCGATGGTCTCGTAAAAGAGCACAAATATGTTGTTGGATTTGTGGTGGGAGAGAATATGCCGCCGAGACCCCAGGTTTTCAGCTGTGGATGAACATCTACCCGCAATTCTTCAACATATCGCAGATTTGCACCCTCGCCCCGACAGAAGCGAAGCACGAAGTATAAGGAGCCCTGCTCCCGCCACGATATCAAAATCGTGTTAGGCGATTTTAACGCCAAGTTTGGCAAAAAATATATTTTGGCAAAACAGTCGGAAGGTGTTAAGAGCGAAAGTAGATTTTACTTGGATTTCCCAACTGACGCCAAATAGCGAAAGATGCAATGGATGGCGCGCTATTGTTGGGAAAAAAACAACTTTGTTAAAGTGGTTCGTTATAGAGATTAGTCGCCTAGTTAGAAAGAAAGCTTCACTCTTCTCTTACATCGAGATCAGAGTAGTCGTTTTATTATATGATCCTTTTCCGCGTCTCGTTACCTTTTCAATTCGAAGCTGAATATTTCGTCCTTTCTGTACTATCAGCGCAATATTTTGTTCCCTTCGATGATGACGAATTTGAAAGATTGGCTTAAGTTGTATTTTAATGACTTCCTTTAGAAATTAGAATCAAGATTCTTCAATTACCAGCGCAACTATCTGGCGCCAGTCAATTACGGCTGAGTTATATGAGATTTTATTAGATGAAATTTTAAACTGATCACAAGTTGTAGGGGAAACCTGAAATTGGAAAATGACGCAAATTCCCCTTGACAGCCGTTTGGCAATGCATGCGAAATCAACTGCGAAAAGAACGCAAAAGTACTTCTAAGAAAGGCGAGCTGTTTCATTAGCCGCCTATGCCTTTAATTTAGATTAGAATACACATGTTGGCCATACTTGGGTATCGAGTTCACAGACCCACTGCAAAAGCAGCGCGAGGTAGCACAATTCCAAGTAGAGACGGCACATTTAGAAATGCAATGAAGCGTGTAATTTAACAAGAAGTGAGTTGAGTTTAGAAGAAGCTCCGCGCCTGATTTATTTTCGGTTTAGCATATGCCAAGGAAGCGGCGAATGTCACTAAAAATTGCTGCCGGCTGTGGACGCATATTAATTTCACAACATAACTTCTTAAGCAGCAAAAGAAAAAAACTTTTTATACATTTTAAAAATAAGATAATAAATGCTTAAAGCCTAAAACGCTTAAGCGTTTCAATGACTTTCAGCCAGCCTGGCTAATGGCCTGCCTAAGTGCCCGCCTAACTGTGGCCATTTTCATGAATTTCATATCAATTTCCGTCATTATGTCATAAAATCAAACGCAGAGAAGCGCATTTGGCCGAGAAGAGTCACGAGTTAAAAATCGTCAAACACAAAAGCAACCAAACCAAGAACCGCTCAGCCACCCATACAGTCGTTGACGTCGACCTCGTTTGATACGATCGATTGTGGACATTTCAATAATCGTTTTAATCATTTCCGTTTAGAGTTGATAGCCTCTTTTTATGTGCCTCATTTACGATTGACAGCCAAAGAATTATGTAATCAAAATTAAGTTCAAGCACGAAGAAGCACAAAAACAATGGGAAAATATTAAGTGAGTAAATATAACAAACGAAGAACGAACACGAGAAAAAGAAGCAAAAGAGTGTTGGACTTAAAACCAAGAATAAGAACAAGAATTAAAAGAAAAGACGGAGGAGAGTATCGGAGCAAGGGAATTTTTTTAATGATCTGTTGATTGTTTGGGGCGGAGTCTTTAGTTCAAAAAAATTTGTCTGGTCTTCCTCTTTCTATACTTATGCACGTATGTACATATTATATTTATTTAAACAAAATTACAACTTACCCATTTTATTTGTCAATACACGTATATACAATAATATATTTTATTTATTGCTATTTAAGTTCAATTTGTGTGGAAATCTCTTTTGTACTCATACATATAAACATATACATAAATATATGCAAATGTGGTAATGTGACTCTCGGAAGGTATTCAACATTTTTAATGACAGTCAAGTTAGATATAAATTAAAGATTCATAAGAAATACATACATACTAATATACAAAAACTAAAAATAATAACAACAATAATGTAACCCATAAAGCTTGTGAAACAAAAGAAAGCAAATGAGCTGTGACTTCGAGTTTTCCCCTACTCTGCACTTCTACTAGCTAACTTCTGCTATTGACTATTGGTTGTCGCGTGTGTTCGTGGAATTAATCTTTGACTCATCCAAGTAGAAAATGGTGTAGTCTACAACATTAAATTAACTATTGCTTTGGGTATAAAAACTTTTCTTGTGCCTTTTGTAAGTGTTAGACTAGAAAGCAGCTTATAGTAATTTTCATAAACACGAAGGCCTGCCCGACTATTGGATCCTAAGTGCGTTCTGCCCAATCCACAAAAAGTGGAACCCTCCGGCATGCGCCAATTACCGTGGGCAAAGTCTCTTCAATGTCGGACATAAGATTCTATTGAGCATATTGTTTGAAAAACTCAAATCCGCTGTTTGAACAACAAACTCTTTGGATCTTTTCAGTATGTGGCCTTAGATCTGTTGAACTTAACATTGACCAGATATTCTCCTTGCACCAAATCTTGGAAAACGCGCGTAAGAGAATAGCCGATATGCTCCTCCTTTCCATCTGTCACTCTTTGTCTGAACCTTTACGGCTGAGTAAGCTGGCGCTGGAAAATACCAAAAGCGCAGCCGGAATAGAAAAGATCCCTTCCGAACCGTACCCAATCAAACGAGGTTACAGAAAGGATAACTCTTTGTCAAGTGATTTCTTCAATTTGATGCGGGAGAGAATAATAAAAGCTGAAAAGCTAAAGAGACAAAATTTTATAAAGAGTACAACGACTGGCGTATACCAATGATATTGATACCATATGCTTTGACAACCGAGCCGTGAGTTCAATTTTTCCACACTGGATAAGTAAGGAAAGTGTATAATTCTGCTGTTATCATCAAACAAACAGTCATCGCATTTGCGACTCGGCTCCCATGATCATAGCTCCGAGAATTTCTCTTACACCTGTTTACTTCGGACTGAGCAGAAAATTGAAAGATAAACACTTTCTCGATGAACAAAGACCAAACTGACCAAGTCGCTCCTAATTACTCTCCTGCTATAAGGGGCTAGGGTATGGACGATGACAATATGTGATGAGTCGACGTTGGGAGTTTTCGAAGATATATGGCTCTCTGGTGAATGAATTTCAATGAACCCCTTGCAAAATATAATTTCTTTTTCAAACAAATATTAATTATAATTTCCATAAACTATTTCATTAGAAAACCTTAAAACTACCCAAGACAGAACAACTCAATTCCACCTCAAAAGCGAACTGAGCTCATCAGCAACTGCACACTGTACCACATGAATTATGCATTTCGAGCACAATGAAGATTTGTGCGATGCAAGCAATGAAACGGGAACAAAATATTTACCAAATTGATTATGTTGCCATGCGCGTCTGCACACAACGAAGGCGAAGAAGAAGAGGCAGAAAATTGCAAAAAAAAACAACGCATTTCAAGTCAATTTACTCATTGTCCAAACGTCTTTATGACACCAATAATTGGAAACGTGTGCTCATCGTTTGTCGGCGTCGTCATTGTGGCTGCAATCTTCGACAGATTTTCCACGCCAACACAACTCCCCCTTTTTCCTAGCGAAACATGCGAAGGTAACTTGGCCCACTCAACCACACTGTATTTAAGTATTTATGCAACTACATGTGTATGTAATTTGCTTCATAGGCATTTGACGCTGTCAGCGCGAAGACGTGCAACACGGCCTCCCAGCTTCGTCGTCCTACTTTCATACGGCAATGCATGTGTCAAATTCCTCACAAATTCGGTATTAACGGCACGTGTGGCCCGGTAGAGCTGACGCTGATTGCCGTGTCGATTTTTAGTTTTCGACAAGCAAATGTTCGTAGTTGGCCAGAGGCTACATATGTATGTATGTATGTATGTGCTGCAGGAGGTAGTGTGTGTGTGCTTATAACTGCAACGGTGGCAGTCCACAATCGGAGAAATGCACGTGCTTGGCATATATAAGAGCTGCTGCACATAAACATTTACACATATATATGTACATAACATAAGTACTAAAATGTGGTTGACACTAATAGAAGTTCAAAGCAAAAATGATTGCATACTGTTGGGCGTATAAGCTGGAGAATGTCAAAAATCGATGCAAATGACATATTTCATTGGCTTAATCCAAGGTATGCGTGTATGTAACTATACAAGTTTACGTCTGTAAATTAGGGTGATCCCATTTCTTCTTTTCCGAAAAAAAAATATCTGCAAAAATATTGGAAAGTGTTGTAGGAAAAAAATTGTAATTTAAAATTTTACCTCCTCTGAGCATCTAAAATAATAAAAAAAAAATAATAAAAAATGAGTATTGAATGTTTGGTAGGTAGAGTGGTTGCCTTGTGGGGCACTTAGGGCGTTGGGAGCTCCATTATAATACAATACTTTGCGACTGAGTTTCCAGCACACGACCTCTCTAAACAAACCTGGGGTTTTCATACATAAAAGAAGCAAGAAGCCGATCAAAAGGCTGGCGAAAAAAGTACATCTCGATTGGGTTGGTAATGTAGGAAGATCGAAGACAGTGAGATAGCCGATGAGCTGGCTGAAATACTTTCAGACCAGCATATGAGTAAAGATTTGCGAGTCCCAAATAACGAAAAATGCGCTTATATCGTCAAGGGATTATATTTGTTTTCATTATGAACTAACCCGGGAATGCAAATTGACGAAAAGTCTTTTCAAAAGTTAGGTTCTTACTAATGAGCAAGTGGTTAGCTTCGAAGCTGATAGCAGTATTATTAACGGGACATTATCTGTTTGCGTTTAATGGTTTTAGGTTTGGTTAATGGTGCTGGGCAGGTAGAAGTGGATCATACTGATGAGAAGAATCTAATGAGTCTTCAATCAGCTATGTTCTAATGCGGCTAAAGTTGCATAATGTCATTAGGATGGCCGGCAGTTCGAGTCCTGGCTTCACCAGCTTCCAAAAATATTTTTCCTAATTGCGCCTCTCTCAGGGAATGCCAAGCACTCAGAATATATTTCTGACATGAAATAATAAGATCATCATAAAAACCATCGGCCATACGGAGGCGGCTTAGAATAACCAATACAACCTAAACTAATCTTCGTGGCTTAAAATGGGAAATACAGAGAAAAACTTAGTTTTAAAAGACCTTTCTTGGACGTGAGAATAGAATTATTGCATGGTTTTTATGCTTCCGAAAAAAAAATAAAAAATAATTAATTTGTGTGTTGCCCTAAAGTATTTCATGTACATAAGTGTACTTACTACTAGATAAAACAATGTTCATGAGGTAAATGGTTGCCAGCAGCAGCAGCAGCATCGATTGCTCCCTCAACCAATTTCTGACGTCAGTTGCATTGCTTTCCCGTCAATAACTGTCGTTCGGGGAAGATTCAAACTTTGATTTTCGACAGTTGTTTTCTGTGGCACCATACCCGCTCCCTGCCTTAGCCAGCCAACTCATGCAACTCTTGAATACCCAAACGTGTTAATAAGCTTTGTATTATGTACATGTGATTGTGTGTGTTTGCGTTGAGGTGTTGGAAAAAAGTGCACCACTTTGACTAATCCTCAAATAATGAACTGAAAAAGGCAATAAACCCAAGGCGACGGTAAAACCAACCAAATGTTATTGGCTATACTGCAACCCCCGTATAGAGTAGCTTGAAATATTGCTGTGGCTTATCAGTAACTTGATGCGTGCAACATCAACTTGCAACACTAGCAATTTAAGTGGGCGAAAAAACCCACCAAAAACCATCAATGTCAACAGCACCACCCCATTTTGGGTTGTTCTTTTCATTACTTTTTTTTCATCTCATGATGAAAGCATTTCTTTCATCAATTCACGCATCTGTCATTGTCATTGGGAAAAATTGTTTTTATGCAACTCATATCTGATATTTTTTTTTCTTTATATACGTATATACGAGTATACAAAAAAAAAATTATTATGAATACCGAAAACTGGTTAATAGCAGCAACAAAATGCTTTTTTCAATTCTTTAATAAAAATATTTCATTGTATGTGTGTGCAGTGTATCGCTTACATTCACGTTTACATTATGGCCACTTCACCGAACCTATCCTCTCTGTGGGGTTAAACGCGCGCACGTGCAACGCTGCGAAATATGACACCTCCCCCCCTTTACCTTAACCTTTTCATCTCGCCGTGCCGCTGCCATTCGGCGGTGGTGTCAATAATATTTTTGTTGTTTTTGCAGCAGCAATTATAAATGATTGTGTGTACGTATTTCTTTATGTATGTATGTGTGTGTATGAATGAATGTATTTATATGCTTTGCGGCAACTTGGCATGGCAATTATTATTTGTTGTTATTAGTAATTTATGTTAATCAGCGGGCACTTAAAAACTACTGTCGGTCCTGCTGCTGCTTCCGCCGGGTTCACTGCTCATGTAGTTGTTGCTGCCGTTATTTTGTGCTATGTAATTTTGTAATGTGTCGCACTAATTGCGTCAAAGTGTGAAAAATGTGGAAATTCCACTATTTAATATGCAACTACTCAAATGTCATTACAGTTTGATTGACGGTGTTTTGATTCAATTAAGTCATTCATAGCATTGCTTGTTTTTTTCTTTTTTTTTTTTTTTTTTTTTTTTTGAAAATCCATTAAAATGAATTTCAATAAGCTAAGTCATGCAAAATGGCTTAATTACTATATTTGCGTACAAAATTATTTAGGAAAATAGAATAAATGACATTTTTAATTAATTAATAAATCTAAATTACTTGATATTTATTGCTGTTAATTTTTTAGGAGTAGTGTGATGGATGAAATTAAATTTATATTAATTACGTTGCGTAAATATACTAAAAACCTCAAAGAAAAAACATACAAAAATACCAATTATTTATTCATTTATCCAGTATTTTTAATATTTTTTTATTTGTTCATCACCGGAACAGAGGACCGATCAGGTGCATGCAACAGCTTCTTCGCAAAATGTGATGGAAGGAAAGCATGCCCGTCGATTGAAACCTAAGCGTGCTCTGCCCAATCTACAGAAATGGCGATCTCACAGTCTGCGCCAAATGTCGTGAGATAAACTTCTCCAATATGGCATATGAGATCCTATCGAGCGTAATATGTGAAAACTAAAGACCACCGTCAACAAACTGATTGAGCCATATCTATGTATGTGGCTTTGGACCTGGTTAATCCACCATTCAATCTGATTTAAATGAACCTTAAATAGTCTGAATAGAGCTGTAACCTCTCGTTAGGTGTAACTAAAAGCTCCATCAGAATCGGGAAGGACCTCTCAGAGCCAGTCAACACCAAACGTGGTTTCAGACAAGTTGATTCCTTATCGTCTGACTTCTCCAATCTATTATCATATATTATATATATATAATTGGCGCTTTGTAACCGCTAGAGCGATCTTCGGCCTAGCTGCTCCTCCAGTTTGTGGTTTTTCCAACAAATGGAGGGAGTTTATACTAAGCCGCCTTCGAACTGCTGATGGTTTTTTTTTACGGGGAGCCTTTATTTCATGTCCGAAATACACTCAGAGGGGTGGACATTCCCTATTGAGGGGCGACTGCTATTAGAAAATTTAACTTAATTTATTATTTTAATTAGTTTTCTATAGCTTTTGGATGTTGGTCACACGGGGATTTGAACCCGAGCCTTCCGATTGTTAGTACGCAATGCCAACCACTCGGCTACCGCGTCGCACCGAGTTGCTGAAGAAAATATTATGAGCTGCGGAACTGAATAGGGAAGGAAAAATGTTTTATAAAAGTGTACAACTGGTTGCGTACGCCCATGGTATTCTTATCATAGGCCTTAACTGCCTCGACGTGCTTGTGAAGAACGATGGCAAAACAAAATGTATCAAAAACAGTCAACGCACTTACCTCACTGTTGACAGTCATAACTTCGAGGTCGTAAATACTTTCGTCTATCTAGGAACCAGCATCAACAGCAAAAACAATGTCAGCTTTGAAATTCAACGAAGATTCACTCTTGCTAACAAGTGCTTCTTTGGATTTAGGAAGCAATTGGTAAAGTCCCCTCTCGACAAACAAAGACCAATCTCCTCAAGTTGCTTACCATTCCCATCCTGCTATATGGACGACGACCACACATTATGAGTCGGCGTCGGCAGTCTTCTGCGCGTTGGGAATAGCCGATACCGCAACCGTGAGTTCCATACGAGATGACAACGGCTACACTAGCTATATTATGTGGGCCGATAAATAAAAATACTCCACCTTTGATAGTTTTCAATGAAGTACCCGACGATGGACACAGAGGAAGAAGAAGAACCTTCACCAGTTGGGGAAGCACCTTACTGTGCTTGGTATTTCTAATAGTTGCCACATAGGGAAAATAAGGAATGAGATGATGTTGTTAACTCGGCTATAATCACGCAGCTGTGTCTATTCCAGTACAGAGAAGATGAGATGATCATCAAGAGATGATCTCGACATATCCAAAACGCTTTTCCGGACCGGATTCTTGCTAGTTTGGTACCCAACGATTTATACATAGTAGACTTCTGAGAATTTTGGGTCGCTACAGTCGCTACCCATCTCAGCGAAGATGATGCTGTTTCTCAGCTTCTTGAGGAGCTTATACTACAGCTTCGGAAAGAGTTTTGTTGAGAGCCACCTTTATGTAAGTGAAAACAGCAAGTAAACACCGCTTCGAACCACCCACTATATCGTGTAGCGTGTAATTAACCCATTCGAACAAAAAAAATTTTCATAAAACTTTCTCCGCCTAAAACTTGAGTTCTTCCATTTGTGTATAAAACGCATACATATTGATTTATAAAGCTATTGTGTCGCTTCCTAAAGCATATCATTTTCACCGTCAAGGGAATAGAATACTTTTGCAGCACGTGCATGTAATCAGCGCCAGCTTCTTTTGAAATCTGATACCGTTGCTATAAAATTTACCGTGAATATGCCATGCCAAAGCGTGCACAAGTAAAAGTATTTATTTACAGGAAACTTCTTTAATCGGCCACATAAAATTGATTTTGCAACTGTTCAGATTTTTAAGCGACAAAAAAGGAGACGCACGAAAGTCAATTACATACACGTATGTATGAGCACCGCTCCCTGAAAGTAAATATGTTATAATGGTGCGTGTTATGTGTGTGTATGCATGTGAGCGAAACTTATTTATTAACCAAATAAAGGAGGTTTGCTTGACCACGAAGTCATCGAGCTGGCATTAAGGTGTGACCTACTGGACTTGAGGCAGACTTCACATTTGATATCTGA